GGGGGGTCCCAATGGTTTTCATGTCTAGATATGGCCTCTGGTTACTGGCAGCTTCAGGTCAAAGAGGGAGATAGAGCAAAGACAGCCTTTTCTACTCACCGTGGCCAGTTTCAGTGGAAGGTAATGCCATTTGGGCTCACCAATGGTCCTGCCAGTTTTCAACGTTTGATGAACCTAGCCCTAGATGGACTAACTTGGACTCATTGTCTGGTGTATATAGATGATATTATCATTTGGTCACGAGACCTGACAGAGCACTTGGAAAGGCTAGAACTAGTTTTTGAGAGAATTAAGATAGCTGGACTCAAGCTGAAACCCGAGAAGTGCCAATTCTTAAAAAAGGAAGTGAAGTTCTTAGGACATGTTGTCTCCTCCCAAGGGATTAAAACTGATCCTGACAAGGTGGCTTCTGTTAAGAACTGGCCCATTCCCGTTGACATGAAGGAGCTTCAGTGTTTCCTTGGTCTGGCCAGCTATTATCGGCGTTTTATTCCAGGATTTTCAATCATTGCTGAACCACTTAATCGCCTGTGTAGAAAAGGTGTTCCCTTTCATTGGGGAGAATCACAAGCATCGGCATTTGAAAAACTGAAAACTCGATTGATCAACGCTCCAGTTTTGGCCTACCCCAACTTTCAACCGAATGCAGGAACGTACATCCTAGACACTGATGCAAGTCAGTCTCTAGGTATTGGTGCAGTCCTGTCGCAAGTCCAAGCTGATGGCACAGAGAGGGTCATTTCTTATGGAAGCAGAGCATTGAATGAACATGAGAAGAATTATTGTGCCACTAGACTGGAGCTTTTGGCTCTTGTAACATACATTGAACACTTTCGATATTATTTGTTAGGGAGGCAATTCACTCTTAGAACTGATCATCATGCCTTGACTTGGTTAATGTCTTTCAGAGAGCCTCAAGGACAAGTAGCTCGTTGGCTTGAGCGACTCCAAGAGTATGACTTTGTGGTGGAGCATCGGGCTGGAAAGAAGCATGCAAATGCAGACGCTCTCTCTCGTCGGCCAAGGCGACATCACGAAAATTGCCCCTCATGTTCTCCGAATGATACTAACCAAGATGTTGTTTCTGTTGTTTCAGCAGTTCCAGTTGCTCTTGACTCTGTTGTTAAAGCGCAGCGAGACGACCCAGATATTGATCCGGTAATTGCTCGACTGCAACAGAAGTGGGAGAAACCAACGAAGAAGGAACTGCAATCTTCCAGTAAAACACAAAGAGAGATATGGGCCCAGTTTGATTTACTGGAAATGAAAGATGGTGTACTTCTTCGTAAGGCTGAAAAATGTGAACATCAGAGTAGAATCATACTTCCTAAGGTTATGGTAGAAGAATGTTTAGAACAACTGCATGATGGTCCTTCAGGGGCCCATCTGGGAAGAATGAAGACTTTGATGAAGATGAAGGCAAGATTCTGGAGACCAGGACTAACAAAAGATGTGCACAGGTACTGTGATCAGTGTTTAACATGTGCTAAATGTAAGTCTCGACCACAACCAAGGGCGCCCCTCCACACAATCCCTTCTGGAAATCCAATGCAACGGGTGCACATTGATATTGTTGGGCCGTTACCTAGGTCCAAGAGGGGCAACCGCTTCCTTTTAACAGCCCAGTGTAGTTTTACCAAGTGGGCAGAGGCCTATCCAATTAGTAATCAGAGAGCAACTACCTGTGCCCGTGTGCTTGTTAAGAATTGGATCTGTAGATTTGGTGTCCCAGATAGTATTCATAGTGACCTCGGTGCCAATTTCGAATCCAAGGTATTCCAGGAACTGTGTGATCTCCTGAAGATTAGTAAGACCCATACCACAGCATATCACCCCCAGGGGAATGGGCAGGTGGAGAACTTCCATAAGACTCTTAAAGCAATGTTGAAAACCAGATGTGAAGAGCGGGCCAACTCTTGGGATGAAGAACTTGACTTTTGTATGATGGCCTACAGAAGTAGTGTGCACGCATCCACAGGACACACACCATTTGAGTTGATGTTCGGACACGAGATGACACTCCCAGTAGACATCATGTTTGGTGGTTCGAAAGAAAGTAACACATGCCAATATGGAGAATTTGTAACCAAGCTACAAGAAGGGTTGGAGGATTCTTATCGGGATGTGAGGGAGAAACTCAAAATTGCCCAGAGAAGACAGAAGGATTACTACGATCGTGGGGTTAAAGTTACTAACTACAAGCCTGGCGATTTGGTACTCAGGTACACACCCCAACTCAAAGAAGGAGAAGCTAGCAAGTTTCACAGGTTCTGGGAGGGGCCCTATCAGGTTCTAGAGAGGACTAGTGAGGTCACCTACCGTCTCCGCAAGCTCGAGGGACGATGCCGTAGATCAGATGTTGTACATTCCAACAACTTACGACTTTTCAAACGGCTAGGAACAGAGGGCTCACAACCTCCTAGTATTCCTTTAGAGGAACAGTGTGACTCAGACATGCAGCAGGTAGCTCGTGATGACATGACGGAAGACAGTGGATACCAATCTTTTACTTGTGTTCAAGAACCTCAGTTGGAGATTAGTGAGGAGCAGACTGGTGAATTAATAGAGGTATGCTCCAATACAGATAATGGAAATGACACTCAGGATGACAGCGATGACAGTCAAGGAGATAGTGACAATAGTGAAAGTGATGGTGACGACGATGATGATCAAAGTGACAGTGAGAAGTCTGAAGGTGAAGAAACTGATGACACTAATGTTGAGGGCATTAGCGCGGAAGACCTCGAGATGAGTGAGGAAACAAGAAGACCACAGCGTGTAAGGAGACCTCCCGACCGTTATGGGGAATGGGTGGTTAGCCGTCTTCGTGATGACTTCCTTTCGTTGGGGGACAGAAGAAAGATAAACGAAGAGACGATCAAGCGAATCAGACCAAAACTAAATTTAAAGAATACTGTTACAACTTTGTAAAGGGGGGATGATGTAGTGATAGGCGCGCATGCGCAAGTCGGTGTGTGAAAAGTAGCGTGGCACATGGTTTTGGATGTGGCGCGATGTTGAGTTCTTGTTGATTAAAAACGAAGTGTCTATCACAAAGTGTCTTTATTACAAAAGGAGAAAAGGGAAATTCTAAAGTCGGTCAAAGAAATCGACAGATTTCTGCTCTTGATGATGAAGTATACGACATACTTGTTAAACTATGTCGTGGTACTTTCCATGTCCCTGTTAGCCAAAGAACGGCACTGCAAAAGTCCACGTTAGTCCGGTTTTGGAGGAACAAAGGTCGGTACACTGTAAAGCTGGTGAATGGGGCTAGAAAGCTTTTCTTCGATAGAAAAGTAGTCCTTAAAAAATCAGAGATTCAAAAGGTGGTCATGAAGGAATTCAAGCATTCAAAGAGTATGGGATCGAGAAAACTCAAGAACAAACTAAAAAAGAGATATCGTGGAATCAGTGAACCTTACGTCAATAAAATATTATCTAAAAGCAAGCTCCATCAACAGTCAAATGCTAGATTTAATAACAAAGTTATTATTAGACCAATTCGTGCCAGTGCAGTTCAGGTAAGAGACCGAACTGAATATAAAAACCACAATATATTCTGACATCATATATTCTAAACCCTATTATATTCTTTATCTTACATAAGAGAAATGTTCTTTTTATTTTGCTAATTCGATGCATTTTCACACTGAAAGACAAGCTAGACTTTCATAGACAGTTAGAACGTATTAATTTATCTCGCATATAATAGTTTTACTGTAGAACATCTACTTGCTACAAGCCTACAAGCCTACAATTCACATGTCATTAGCGATAGACTGCCGTCAATCAAAATGTTTAAACAAACCGGCTGTTGGCGCCGAGCTATACTTTTTAAGTACAAGTTAATTGACAGCAGTCTACACTTGAAACCCAGTATAATCCGACCACCAACTGAACATTCCAAATTGTCCGTATTAACGAGATGGCTGTATTTTCATGACTTGTTCTATGAATGAATTTACATTCCAGGTGGTCACACTTCACCATTTTTGGAATTTATAATGAAATGGCAAAATACTTTGAATGTGATTTCTTTCGCAGGTGCGTCACCAGATTGACCTCGTAGATATGACTAAGAATGCTGTTACATTAAAAGGGAAGACATACAGATACATTCTAACAATACAAGATGTCTTCAGCAGATATCTATGGCTAAGACCTCTCGAAAGAAAACAAAGCGTCCACGTTGCGAGAGAACTGAGAAATCTGTACAATGAAGTAGGGCCACCACGCATTTTGCAATCAGATAACGGCGGAGAGTTTAAAAAAGCAGTCGAAAAACTTTGTCGATTATTATCGGTTAAAATCATCAGAGGAGCACCCTACCATCCCCAAACACAAGGAAAGGTGGAGCGCTCACACCGAAGCTTGCATAAAAAGATTACTTTCGATCTCAATAACTTCTCAAAGAACATGGGCGTAAATTGGGCTGCGCGACTGCCCAGCTATCAAAAGCTTCTTAATGAAGAGCCCATGGAAGCTCTTGAAAATCATTCCCCCTTTGAAGTATTCTACGGACGATCCTCAAATGCAGTATCTCAAAGGGTAACGGGAGGGCAATGTCATACGGAATCCAATCCAAAAAGCGTTAGCACGGAACCACAAAATACTGACTATGAAAGAGTTTGCAAGAGAAGACAAAGAATTCGAAGGAAAGCTCAGAAATCAAACAACATATGGGATAAACGCTACATACAAAGAAGAATGAAAAACAACCCTCCATCTCAATATGAAATAGGAGAAAGAGTATTCCTTCAATTTCCATTCTCAAAAACAACTCGCACCGCTCCAAAAAAAAGATATGTAATCAAGGGTAAAATATTGAATAAGAAAGTAGTGCTTCATAAAKATGAAGTGCAGTATGTGTCTCCCCTAACAAAAACTGAAACCAAAAGTTGGGTGTCAGTGGAGGACATTACCAGCCTGACAAGTGAAGAAGAAAAAAAAAGAAAGATATCGCTAAAAGTATGAATCAAAAAGACGGAAAGAGTAAGAAAAGAGGAAAAGTCTCCCCAAGCCACATTAAAAAATATTACATTCCTATTCAAAAGCAGGACCATCACATTGAATTCAACAGTCAAGGCTTTTCCGTTGCATATGATCCGGTTGGCAACGGCAATTGTCAGTTTGATGCTTTAGTACACTTCCTCCAGGACATTGGGGTGTTTAGATCAGCTCAAACACTGCGGGAAGAATTAGTACGTTACCTTGAGGCAAACCCAACAGATAAAGATTGCTCACCACTGGAACTGTTTACTTCTTTGCCTTGGAGTCGGTATTTAGCTGAGATGTCGAGAGATTTTACCTACGGAGATCACTTGACATTGCAAGCATTTGAAAATCTATTTAACGTCAAAGTCAGCATTATTTCATCCCTTGGTCCTGAGGGAAAAGTGATTATCGCTCCTTGGAACTCACAACCAACCGCCCAGGTAATTCTTGGTCATTACGCTGAGGATGATGGTGCACACTATGTTTCCCTTCATCAAATCGCTGGAGTGGTAACATGCAACGACGATGACATTCTTAGTGACACTGACAGTCATGAAGCGTATGACAAAGAGCAGACGGAAACATCATTTGAATATTCTACTCATAATATTGCAGGGGCTTCCACACACGAGCTAGAAGAAAGCTGCAAAGAAAGCGTCATCAGTGACGTTCACAGTTGGGAAGGTTATGATCAAGAGAGGGTGGCAACGTCCATGAAACCTTTCACTGAAATCCGATTTATAAACGAGAACGACGTTCTTCTTGCTTCTAGAAATTCTTCATCATGTAACAACAACATCGACAAACTTCCCAATGAAATTCTAGAAAGAATTCTTCGACAAGTTATTATATTTTCATCTTCAAACTCTGAAGGTTATGCTTGTGATGCATATCAACAGTTGTGCAAAACAAATCACAGATTCCGTGACATTGTTTTCAACATTCGCAAACAAATTCTACCTCACGTGCATATATCGGATGAGAACGCTAAAAGCGGTAGTGTGAGTGTGCGCAGTCTGCTAAAAAAATACGGTCGTCACAGTGGGTTGCTGAGGAGGCTTTTGGAGATCATTGCTAATTCAAAATGGATCAACGCATGGCTGCAACTTGAAAGAATGGAACATGGATGGTTTCTTATTTCCAACATTTTTTGGAAAAATAGATGAAATATATTATATCAGTTTTCTCTAATCACACATAAAGGAAACGCACTCGTTCTCTCGTTATGTTGATGAGAACAGTAGGTGTAGTTGTTATTGCATTAATTCATTTCCAATCGTTTGCTTGCGTTTTTGCTACTGCACATCACATTAAGCTGTTCATATTCAAATTCTTGAAAAGTAGAAACGATTTATTTGAACTTGGTATTTGATTTCTTTGTACAGTCGCATTTGACATACTTAAACAATTCTGTTTAGACTCTTGCTTTTTCCTAGCTACAAAATCATTTGCGAAGTTTTGTGTTGAAAATAATAAGTGCAATTAAATATTAGCATGTATTTTATAGCCAAGCCGAAATGAAAATGATCAGGCAATCGAGGATAGCATGCAATTATACGGGGCGGATAGGGTTGACGTGTTGTTAGAGAGGAGCAAATAGAGCTGTTGATGGGTGAAGATGTACATGCATATATGTAAAATGTCGGCACAAAAGATGAAGAAAGACGAAGAAATAATACCAATTTCATGCAATTTCATGCAATTGTTTCGAGAATCAGCAGCGTGTGCAGCGACGCCGTTTTGAACCTCTAATCAATCATGTAATCGATAGTTATAAAATCATTCTTGAGTATCAAACTTTTATATTTCACTTAATTAGTATATAAAAAAGGAAGAAAGAACAAGTGCTGCGCTTATTAATTATATTGTGCTGGTTAACAAAATATCAGTCACCATGTGATTGATACACGAGAGATTTGTGAGTATAGTCCTTAGTCCGCAATGTTTGCAATTTGTCTTGGCATTTCAAAATTATGTATGCCCTTTACAACGAAGCCTGAACCGACAATATAACAACTTGCGACTGTTTACCCTCACTGTTCACACTTTGACGTCACGATATATGTACAGCGTATAACGAGATAGATAGATAGATAGTGATTTAGAGGTGCATAATAGTCAAAAAGGTTTGACAGAAAAGTTATTACATTTATGGTTAAATGTTATTACATTTATGGTTGGTCTCGATTATTACATATATGGTTGAGAGTTATTACATTTATGGTGGGGTCGGTTATTACATTAATGGTTGACTGTTATTACATTTGTGGTGGGTATTACATTAATGGTTGACTGTTATTACATTTATGGTGGGTATTACATTTATGGTCGATTATTACATTTATGGGTGATACAGCTTCGCCTCAAATGACTGTTTTAAGTGTCTTATTTTTCCCCATTATTTTTGTATTTTTCCATTATTTATTTTTTCCTTAGGAGTTTATTTAATTTCATGATTTCCAGTCAATTTTGAACCGTTCATTATTCAATCTATTCATCTTCAGACCCCGACTATTCCTTTACCTTTAGATGGTCAAGCTCAGAATAAAAATTCAGTTGACATACGTTTTTGGGTGAAATTGAGGATTAAAAATATCACAACCATCTTATATCTCAAATATTCATAGGTATTTCAATGGGGGGTTGTTTGAAATCTGTATACTTTACTCAAACTACTACCCCAGGTTCCCAAAAGCTCGAATACGGCGCTTTGCGCCAAGAAGGGAGAGAATATCAAACCTCTGGAACCAGGGTATCAGCAATTTGCTCAAAATTATTTTCTCCTTTGGAATATTTGTGTGCAATAATCTGTTGCGTTGTCGAAGAAGTCGAACGCTCACCCGCTGAGTACTAGCTTGAGTTTTGAGTCTTGCATGATATGTATGTGCCTCACCTTGGTTCCGTTTCGTTAGCTTGACGGAACTGATCAAAGCGTGGCTTTCAAAGCGTAACGTTTAATTTTTGCTTGAACAGCAATTTTCAATAACTTCAGCATTAGTTACAATCCAATGGAAAGATCGGAAAAAAAAAATGACAACGGGGTTATAGAACCACACTGTGATATTGTTTCTTCTACAATGTATAAAATTGTTGCCAAATCAGATAGCACTGCCTCTAAGTCATAATCTAACTGGAGATCAATAGAATAAAGCAACATCATGTGACGTCACCAATCAAATGAAATCTCTGAATAAAAGATCATTACCTCAACAACTAAAGATTTTTCATATAAAATAAAGTTTAATACTTGATTAATTGGACTAGTATTTACACATATTAGAAAATCACAATTTTCTATCATTGAAAAAATTCATATCACCATATTTACTGCAAGTTTTCGATAAAATAAAAATATAACTTTTTATATTCTATTTGAAGCACAGGAGTTACTCCCCAAAAACGTCCTCACGGGGAGTGGGTAAGAGCTAATTTCGCACCATGGGCTGGAGAAAGCAGTATGGCTTCTTAGGTCAGAGTTGCTATCCTCTAAAAGGCTGGCGTGTTTTTACCATTTACGATATTTCATGTCCTTTTCCTCGTAAAATCCACTTCGGAGTGTAACATAAGTGATTTAACGACGTCAGAACATTAAGGTGYYATTTGGATTGCCTGTGTTGTGGYTTGRCCGTGARGKCATKGGTACCAAAGCACAGGTAACCCRACTAGTATTTGTTAGGAGCTATACTGCTGAGACCTGYCCCTCATCTGAATCATCGTATTCTGGTATATATTCTACTGTGTATTTAGGTGGATGCTGATAATAATGACGATGATAGGAACCTGGAAAAATACAGTAATAAACAAAATAAACAAAACAAAATAAATAAAACATAATAAKTTAATAATGACTAAATAATAATAGTATATCAGTAGGGTGGTTTTCATAGTGTTAATTCCGAAAATCCGTCAAAACAAAGTGTACAATAAAGCGTGTTACAACGAAAAGATAGAGAAAAACGTGCAAAATAAAGAATAATAAAGTGTATTTCACGATTTAATAAAAACCACTTTATGTCTGCAAAATAGATAGAGAGAAGTCTTTAAACCCGTGAAACAAAACTTGACTATTAAAGTGTGATAGTCAAATAGACACAAAAGAAAACAAAGCAATTAGAGCGTACTAAGGTGTATTAGTATAATATCTGGATTTTTTTCGGACTTCAATCTAGTAGACTAATACACCTTAGTACTCTCCAACTCCATTGTTAAGAAATACGTATTTATCAGGGGGTCTTGAAAATGCAATATTCCTAAATTACATGCAATAAAACTGCCATTCAMGTGRGAACCATTTCACTCTATTCGTTCYGGCACCTCTTCGATAACGTACCTGCCATCATGTCCCCATCCTCATATGATCCTTGATAGGAATAGCTATCGTGTGCTTCTAMAAGAAAAAAAGAACTCTTTACAGGCAAATTCGYAGAGRAAAATAGAGAAAAAATGCTGACTTATGCAAGTCGTTACAGTCTAAGTTGTAGTTTGACTGTGACAATGTGTAAAAAGTCTTCATAATTTGAAAGAAAGAGTGAGTTCTCTCACCTGCATATTCATATGTCCGTCGTGTTTCAACGTGTTCTGAAAAAGTCACACAAAAAAGATGAATTATTATTTTCACTACTTTATCTCTAATGGTTTATCAACGACAAAAATCATTTGGTCATTCTAAAAACAAGCTGGGCTGAGAGAGGAATATCATAGATTAACCCCAAGGGAAGTGGAACCTCCATTAAGCGGTCACCTTAGTGAAAGACGAGGTGACCGTTTAATAGAGGTTGGCCGTTTAATAGAGGTCACGTTTACAGTAATTATATATGAGTATCGACTTAAGGAATTACTGAGTGACCGCTTAACGGAGGGTGACCGGTAAATAGAGGTCACGTCTCCAGTAAATATGTATGAGAATCGACTTAAGGAATTACTGAGTGACCGCTTAATGGAGGGTGATCGCTAAAAGAGGGCCGTTTAATGGAGTTTTCACTGTGCATATGTATTACAAGGTGCGCATTGTTGAGCTACYWTGCTTCTCSTATGTAACAAGAAACTTTTATTAAAATTATTTTGTCGTTTCATAACAACTTKCCTACCTCTTGAGTTCGCCGTGTATCGATATTCGACATCTGAATAATATGCCTGTTGTCGTCTGTCGGGTGGTGGATGTCGAAATTCGACTTGYCGCACATCGTTSGTCTGTTGTCTTGAATCKGKATGTCGCGCGTCTGGGTATCGAAAGTCGCGTTGTCGAATCTCTCTGAGTCGTTGTATATCTGGAGCCTGATGTCGATCGCCTTCCCTTCTATGTCGATATTCAAGCGACAGATGTCTAGTGTCGTGCGGTTGTTGTCGAAAGTGTGTCGGTGAGATTCGTATGTCTTGTGTCGGAGGTTGATATTCAGGTGGCGGATGTCGCATGTCGTGTGTCGGTTGYCGAATAKTTTGCAATGGTTGTCGAKTGTCACGAKTCGGCTGACGACCATCTTGAGTTGACTGTTGTCGAATGTCGTGTGTTGGTTGTCGTATGTCTCGGGTTGGCTGCCGATTATCTTGAGTAGTCGGTGGAATATCTTGTGTTGGTTGTCGAACATCAGGTTGTCGTGAATCGGATGTGTATGATTCTGCTAATGACGATGTTTCCGACTCGAAGACTTCATCAACTGTACAACAAAAAAGAGTTTCAGATATAATTAAAAATTTTAAARAAGTATTTAAACGAACGCCCAAACGAAAACGCCCAAAAGAGACGGATAAAAYATAAACCAAAACAAAAAGYGAASGAGACAACGAACTGTCGTTCAGACGAACGGCAAGACTATMGGCCRTTCGAAACACGCGAACAATCAAAAGAAAGAATAGCCTGGACGGAAGAATAAGAGGTTGGACTGGTACAAAAGATCAAACGACAAGAAGTCCTAAGTTCTAAGTCAGAAATGCGCGGTTTTGAGTCGACCAAAAACGGACTGGAATTCAACAGGAAGCCCGCAACTACAACAGGCCACTACATACCTTGTTCCTGTGTAGGTTTGGGTGACAAGACGTCAGGTAACGATGAAGATGTACTCGTGTTGGATGAAATTGATATTCGGTCGGCTGTGAATATAGAAAAAGCGTGACACTTAGGATTATCATCAATGAAAGCGTGACACTTAGGATTATCATCAATGAAAGCATTGATAAGATTATCATCATCACTATTAGTTTCATTAATAATTATCCGCATTATCATCATCATTATCATAAATACAGTTAGTATTATCATCATCATTATTAGTTTCATTAATAATTATCAGCATTATCATCATCATTATCAATAAAATTAGCATCATCATCATTATATAATTATGAGGATTATCATTGTTATCAACGTCATCATCATCATTAGTGTCATCAATTATCATAGACATCATCATCATTAATGCTATAAATACAAATATTATTATCATCATCAGTATCGTTATTATCATCGTCATCATAATTGTTATTATAAATATATCGTTATAATTATTATCGTCATATTATCATCACTCTCAACGCCATTAACATAATAGACCTCCTCGAGTATTGCAAAGCTTATTCAATTTCAAACACGTTTTTCTGCCATCCATCTCCTTTGCGGTTCCCCGCGCCATCTTGAAAGGTAGCCGTGTTTTTGCATCGAAGCGAGACAACTGTTGAGCGTGCAATGATAGAAACCTTCTTTCACATCAACAGACAATAGTCCAGTTTCGAATTCTCCAATGCTCTGTGTTAGCCTCATTTGTGCTCAAAATATTCCTAATTGTGAGAATRGAAGTGTGAGATTTCCAATCAATTCTATTGTCTTATTCACAGGTATCTATCATTGCACGCTTAACGGTCCTCTCGCTTCGATGTAAAGACACGGCAACCTTTCAAGATGGCGCAGGGAACCGTAAAGGACTCTTGTACACTTATTCATGAGTGATATGAATAGTCAACTTTAGATATTTTGGTTGGATGACTATGTACAAAAGAACGCACACGAGGCTCCGGGGAAACAATGGATAATCTTGATTTATTCTTTTATTTCCCCGGAGCCTCGTCTGCAATTCTTTTGTGCATGGTCACTGAACCAAAATATCTAAAGTCGACTATTGGGACAAACATGTCCCAAGCCGAGGAGGTACATTATGATTATATTATTTTCATTATAGTGAACGTTATTATCAAGTTATCGTCAGTTAGTTCTAGCTCCTTTTACGATATTTATTTATTTATTTAGAAATACAGTTATTAGCATGCAATACCTGACTGGAATCGATCACTTCTTGTCGCAAGGGGCGAAGGATCTGTCGAAAATATTATTTCTTATTCGTCATACTTTCAAATTTATGAATCTTTAGTTTTTGCGYTTAGTATTTCATTGTTATCAAAACTTCGCATAAATCGATTTATTTCGTGAAATGAGGTTGTTTTTGGATCTACCAAACCTCACAAAGGTCAAAGGAAAATAGAGAATATTCGTTAAATTCTGTTAGTCAACATGCACCTAATAAACACTGCCCAGGGATTAAGCGATGAATACATTAACAGACAAATCTTAATGAGGCATAAGTGCAGTCTTCAGTCTTTTAGCATTAAGGCTTGCAATTTCATAACACGCATGCTCAATATGTTTACCACATCAATCCCACATGGTTTATATTACAGCTATTTACCCATTATTTTGCCGTTTCTCTTTTTCCCCATTGACGGTGACGTTGTTGGGGAGTTTTTCCTTCTCGTTTGAACACTTGAAGGAGCTAAAAAAAAAMAAAACTAGAATTATCTCCGTGCGATTTACTAATATTGTACAAAATAGTACTCGCTCTACCYCTGAGAGGTACAGAATATTATGCAAATGATGTACTCACCTGACCCCTGTGGATTTTCACAAGCGTTYGACATTTCTCTAAGTTTATCTTCATCAAAGATAACGAGTAGGTCGTCAAGGTAACGATTCACACGTCTCGCCATCAACGCCTGATGGGTAAACAAAATGTTAATTTATTCCTACGTAATAACCAAGGAATGTTGCGTGACAGCGTGATGTGCTCACCTCTTCATAAGCTTTCTTCGGGTTTTGATCACGTGCCAAAGACCGTCGCGCCCACGTGGTACTATTGGTTACCATACCAACAACTTGTGACGTCATACTTTGGGGAACACTTCCACGCACGTTATTCGCATCCTGATCGAACATGCAGGACGGGTCCTGAAAAAGGCGGGAAAATGAGCCACAACGCGCGTACGGCCGTCACCACAGGGTGACCAACAATACCATTATGATAATGACTTACGTAAGGAACTGAGTGGCATTTCACTACTTGTCGGACCTCTCTTGCAATCATACGAAGTTTCTCGAAGTTTATCTAGGATAACAGTGAAAACAYTTTTAACACACGAAACTGCTTTGAAAAAATCTCGATAGTAGTGAAAGAACCAAAAAAAAAAAACCCTGAAAAGTAATGGCAGTCAACTTACAAGTCCATCTACGACACTTTTGTTATTCAAATAGATGAGGGTTAAGTCTCTCTTTACAACAGGAAAAAACGGTATCTGCAAAAACAAAATAAATTGTTATCAAAACACATGCACCGATAAACGCCGCTGCGACAATTCTTGGCGCATCTTACAGGGTTTGTACAGTGTTTTCCACCACAAATCCAAGGACTTTTCAAGTACTTTTTAAGCACAAAAAGTTAAACTTTCAAGAACCATTTTTCAAAGATCGCGTTTGTTTAAAAGGTCTTCACAATCAATCGAAAATAACTGAACTGATTGAACATCAATTTCAAGGAGTGTTTTGGTGGGTTTTCAGCATTTTACCCCTTTTTAAAGAATTTCAAGGGGTTTAAGTGCCCTAGAAACGAGTTTTGTTAATTCCAGTGGTTTTCGGAGATTCAAAGAAGAGATAAAATAATTTTGTACTTACCAGGGGAGGGGACACATTGTCATTATTAAGAAGACTTCGATACTTGAACATACTTCGTGAAGGATCCATAAGATTCTCAAGATCCTGAAAAAAAGGATAAAATTTGATGACATTTCCTTGGACAATATTAGGAATAACCTGTAAAATAGTTACCCCACCCCTCCCCCCTCAGGTATCTCGATTCGTTCCCAGTCCTACCTCATACATCTTGTTGTATCTTGTRGGAAGCTTGTCCCAGGTACTTTTCAGACGTCGCACTGACATGTTACTAAGTCCACTATAAAAAGAAATATTTTTATTATTTATTTGATAATCTGCACATGTGAAATAAATACTCGGCGTAATAATTCTTACCTTATAATCGCAAACGCAGAATTAAAATTTTTACAGTCTTTACAATATTCTACAAAGAAAAACAACGTAAACATTCATATTTTCCTTATTGGTAATCCAACTTATATCGTTGCTGAGGTCTTTTAGTTTCCATGGCAATAAGCGAATACTATTGATTGTCATGGCGTACTTACTTGCTATTTTGATAAAGTGTTTTATAAGTTTCATTCGCTTGACAACGCTGGGCTCGCTACAAATTTCCGTAACGACCCAAAACGTTTCTCTATTGACAACCTGAAAACAATAAATACAAATGATTAAYAGAGTTGATTAACGTAAGGCAAGTCGACGTAACGTAAGTATCCGTAAGGCAAATTACGTAAACTTTAAGTAAACGTCCTCGATTTAGGTCAATCTAACGCAAATGTTTGACACGCAAACTGAAAGTCGCGCAATAACGCATAAAACGTAAGGAGTGTCTGTGCGATATATTGCCTTACAAAAGAGCTGCGCGAAGCGGTTCAAAGCCTGCGCAAGTCAACAGGTCGTGCATTAACGTAAGGTCTTACGTACTTCTTGGAATTTATTGAGGTTTGACCACAGTTCTTGCGGGAATTCCCACACTTCGTATATATATTCACGCGAATCTACTTTACGTAATAACTCAAAATCCTGCAAATATATCGAGACGAAATGGAAAAAAAATTAGTACAACACAGATACTGACAAAATTATATCACAATATTAAATGTTTTTTTTTTGTGTGTGTGAAGTTTTAACGTACCTTCAACGTAAGCTGTCTCGCTACTTCTTGCGTGTTTAATTGAAGCAAAGTCACTTGGTTCTCTTTTGCCAATTCCTGTCAAGAAAATCGTACATAAATTCATTGAAATCAATAGTAGATCGCTAAAATCGATCAATACCCGAGCAATGCTCGAACAATTCCCGAAGAATACCCGAAAAATGTCCGAACAATCATTCATATACTGACATAAATTGTTTGAAATCAATAGTAGATCGCTAAAACTGATTAACCCGAACAATGCTCGAATAAATACCGAATAATACCCGAACAACATCCGAACAATCGTTCATATACTGACGGAAGGTAAACCACAAAGTTAACAATAAAAATTTGGTTTGCCGTACCTGAGTGGCGTCTCCTTGTAGAAGCTGTCCTGTCTCCATGTTGTTCTTCAAGTAATATCGTCCGTTAAGACTTATCCTTTCTGCCAAGTTACTTAACGTGTCAGGGAGCCGTCTTTGTCGAACAAGACCATTTTCCTCTACAGTGACTTCGCATAAGGAATAATCACTGAAACAAARAAACGAAATATTTGACAAAATGGCAACTGAAATACTCGTCTATTATAACTTCTAATGACCTCCTCTGCAGACATCACTTTCTTCTCTTCAAACACAACGGTCTTCCTGTGTTGGATGAGTATGGAGAGGGCACTCTGGAAAGCCGTGATAACTGCGGAGGAGGGCTACTATTCGCGTCTCTTGTACCAATCCATTAGTGTTTAACTTATTCATTCATTGTTGCATTTACTACTACACAAATCTATTAATTCGTTTTCTATTCATTTATTCATTTATACATTCTTATTCATTTATTACTTCAATTAAGATTGTTGTACCTTGGTAGGTTAGGGATACCAAATGTTTCCAAAGCCATGTTAATGATTTCTCTTGCTGTTGTTTCCTGTACGACAGAAAGTATCGATCGATCAAATCAATCATTCAGTCAGTCAATCAATCCAATAATCGATCAATCAATTGCTCAATCAATAAATCAACCAATTCATCCATCTATCAATCAACTAATCAATCAATCAATCTGATTCAATCAACTTATCATTCAATCAATCAATCAATCAATCAATCAATCAATTAATCAATCAATCAATCAACTTTACAATCAATCAATTAGCTAATTAGTCAATCAATCGATCAATCAATCATCATACCCTAAAAACAAGGAAATACTTGAACGTCTGATCTGCCTTGTATAACTTGATAACTTTATCAGGGTACTCATTRCTTTGRTCCACAGACTGTAGGCTCTCCATCGACCCAAAGGCTCTTGGTATTGTAGCCCGAGTACGTGTTTTCACACTTAGYTTAGCAGTSGCATGAACCTCATCGCCTTCRTGGAAGCCCGAGTCAACGCTTGTCAAGTCGCGATCACTCTTGGAGATAATCCTAATAATAAAAATTATCAATGTTAATAATAGTAGATAATATATTAATTATTATTAATGACGATAATAACATGACAAATTTATATGATATGAGTCGAAGCCTATCGTATACAATACTCGATTGACTATCGGTTAAGCTTCGAGGAGAGCTCGACTAATCGGCAGTTTATCGTAGCAWTCTCGTTTTAATATCGCTTAATGTTCGTATAGCACTCGATTGAATTGACACCTTGTATTACCAAGTTCTTATCGATTAATATTGATGACTCGATAAATCAGCAGCCAATCGTAACATACTCGTTTGGGTATCGTTTAATATTCGCATAGCGCTCGGCTGTGGAACGCGATAAGACGTGAAAGCGGAAGATTTAAAAATAGTTATCGCTTGAGGCCAGACAAGACTGTACATATCGCCACATGACAAAGATAACAAACAGAGAAAGACAAACCGGAACAAAACGGTACAAGGTTCGAAACCAAGTTGAAAGAACAACATATGCTTCCACTCTGTTGAGATTCTCAAACGAAACGATAACTGRATACTAAATAAATAAATATAGGACTAAAAACTAGTTTTTTCCGTAGAAAAGCAATTCCAGACAGAAGGAAAGAGAATAAAAGAAAAGGAATTTGTACAGCCCGGAAAGAAATTATATTTTTTTCGAGGAAACAAACGTGGAAGACAAAACGTACATGTTAAACATTCTTTTAGTTAACTAATTAGCCATATTATATAATCAAGATGGCTATAGAAATTGAGCTCAGAAAATAATCAATTTGGGAATTTAGTTTTGAGCTTTTGAGATAGTGTTTAACGAGTATAATTCTCTAGATTAAATAGTTAAATACGAATGCAATGATTACTAGGTACACATTATAAACGGCTATAGACTCACTCCAAGAAAAAACAAATCACTGAAAATTCATAAAATAAATGATAATATCACCTACTTGAAAAACAAGGTAAAACCGAAACAAAAATGGAATTATTAATAATATCAAGCGTATAACAATACATAAATGTTAACATATAAATCGCATTTCGCAACTTACTCAAATCCAAATGAAGCTATATTCTTGAAGCACTAAATTCTTATTGGAAAGAGCAAGAGCTCCGCTATTCGCGCACTATTTACATTGTTGGTATTTTGTGAAATTTGATAGTAAGGCTAATGTAACCCGCRCCTCATTCCAAAATGACTGACCATCTGGCTATCAGACATGTCACACCACTTTATAAACTAACATTTACGAAAGATTACAGTAAATCCAAATTGCCTCGAATTAAAGTCGTGAAATCAAGCCATGAAAATCATAAGATTGAGGTGTAACTTCAAGAGTTTTAGTGTCAAAATGACTTACATAAGCGTGAAAATTATAGGGACTTTGATTTGAATTCCTTGAGGGGGAATTCAAGTGAGGAAAGCGATGAGTCAGTACATGCTCCACTTACTTGTAATGTCGCGACAACGAACCAAGAGTTGAGAACTTGGTGAGKGCCTTTTTCACTTTATCTGTCTTTGATGGAACTTGCATRGGAATCTAGAAGGAAAACATGTGGATTTTGAAGGAGTTATCGATCGATTTATCATTCGCGCGCCATCTTAGTTCATGTCACAAGCATAAATGCGGCCACACGAGAAGGCGCGTCGAGGAGTCTACTTCCGGTGAGGGAAATTCGATGAGTACCGGAAGTAACACTACAAATTAATGAATAAAGGTTTAGATTCAAGTCGGAAATGAAAATAAAAGATCTTTTGAGWGAATACAAAGAGAGTTTTTCATGTAAACAGGTTAAACATAAGTTGTACTTCAAGTATGGTCGGTAACGTAAGAGGCTACTTCAAAGTTATGTACAAGTTGATGATAACACCACTTCCATATATCGGACACCTCTACATTACGAAAACCTCTACATTACGCACATCTCTAYATTACGAACACCTCTATATTACAGACACCTCTATTTTACGAACACTATATCACGATCATCTCTCTATCAAGAACACCGCGAATACGAATACTTTTATACCAAGGGCATATCTATATATAACGAACATTCTATATTACGAACACCTCTATATCTCGAACACCTCTATATTACGGACACCTCTATATCTCGAACACCTCTACACTACGAACATTTCTATATCAAGGATGCTTATAACGAACACTCTCTCGATATTCGACACCTCTATATTACGGACAGCACTGTATTATGAACACCCCCTTCTACAGACACCTCTACACAACGAACACTAAAATTAAAGGGACACTGTCAATGGATGACATGCGCAGTAACARTCTMACYTCTAACGGACTTTGAAAGTATAACCTTCGAGGTAAATCATTTTGTGGTGCTTTTGACACACTTTGGAATATCTAGATCTGTTTACGTTTACGAGCTGATTTATGTCGCGCCAACTTGGAGTCATAAACTTGATAACACTAGCCTAATGTTTTCAAGTTTACTCGCGCATGCGTGCCATTGACAGTGTCCCTTTAAGAGCACTATTTATCTTTTAATAGGTACCAATTAAATCAATCAAGTTAAAATTAGATACATGAATATGGGGAGCGCATGGCACTATGGGATACACGCTATAGAAATATAAGAATAACCTCCTTTTATCACTATAACTTTCCTCTATTTCTCGTTTAAATTACATATACATACCGGTTGCTTCCTGGTCGATCCTGTAATTAAAACAATTAAAACATTTTAACTGAGTGACGTCATCATTTGTACAGAACATTAAGAAACCCTAACAAGGGAATAATGTCAAATACAAACTGACAMACGTGACTAGGAACTGCAAATGCGGCTAAGTTTCTAGACGAGCAGCCACAGATGCAAAATGGATGCATGTTTTGATSGTAAATGTATGGAAAAATCGATTTGATGATTCAAGAAAAAATGCAAGGAAAGAATGACTTGATCATTCCAGAGGACAAAAATAGGAAATAGATGGGAATGAAATTTTCTCAAGTAGTACCTGACGATGTTATATCTGGTTCGGAGTTCCTTGTCTGTATCTGAGTTCTCTTTTCACCGCTACAGTCGGACGAACTGCGTTGAACTGATTCCTGGTGCTGTCAAAACACAAAGGATACAAAGTTAATTGAAAATACTTGTGGCGAACCGCAATACCATAAACAAAAYCGTCTTTTAATAACAAGTAATCAAACTACCGCCATTTTAAAGCGGTTCGATTGTCATTATGATTTTAAAGTGAGCAAGCTCAGTGTAAACACTAAAATCATAAAAAACTTTCGTAATAAATCACTGGAAAAAATCGCGCGCTTTGAAGGTTGTAAATTTGATGTAAATATGATGTAAGTGTCCAAAATTCTGTAAATTTAATGGAAATCGTATGTACATCAAATTTACAACCTTTAAAGCGCGCGATTTTTTCCAGTGAATAGTGCTAAATTGTACTGAATTATGCGAATTACTTTGTTTTTCTATTCTAGAATCTCGCTACATTGCGCTATGTAGCACTATTTAGTAATACGCTTTTCATCCTTATACAGGTTGCACGGTAAAAATAACGTAAGAGGTAAAAAGCTTACGGAMGTTTCGGACGTTKTYACTGCGTCGGAGTCACGTTGTAGTSACGTTTTTTAACTTTAACCCGACTGAAGACGAACGTCTCAAAAGCCTGTAAGTTTTCGTTTTTTACGGTGCAAGTTTAGCAGGTATTTCTTCTTATGAAGTGAGTAAACTCAAAACTCTCGACACGTAATGACATGGTAGTACAACGCAATGGTTCAAACTGASAGCAACGTATACGTATGAGGTTTGCGAACTCACAAGGYTAACATCCTTTTAATGACGCAAGASTACAATATGCAATCCACGTGTATAGATATTACAATAAGACTCCATTTGTGCAGGAACTTAGCGTATGCTTACGTAAGATATAATGTTAACGACGGGACACGATTTGTCACTAATTTGCCATGAGCCCTAGCACCGTGCAACAACCGTTAACGCAACTTACGACTAAGCCTTTTGATTCATACTGGCTCTTACGACTGCGAATACGATTAAGATAGCGCAAACGCGCCTTCCAGGATTATGAACATTTTGATTCTCAGTGTTTTGAGTGATGCTTACGTTTATGACTGCGATGTTAGTGCGATTACAATTGCGGTTATAATTAAGCTAGTGCAAACGCGCCTTCCAGGATCTATGAACGTTGATCCTTAATGTTTTGAGTGATGCTTACGTTTACGATTGCGATGTTAATGCGCCTGTTTGATATTCCGCAACGACGCCAGTGTAATCGCAAGCTTACATGTACGAAATCTGCTAAACATTGAGTTTTGGTTCGTACTAGATTAGATTGATGCTAAAATTGTCTTAAAAACGCAAATCCAAGACTGCAACTATTTCGATTTTGACTTCACAGCCTTGGATGTCTCTGCACTTAGGATATGTTTTTTTAGAAGAGCAAATACTAAATACAAGATACAAAACCAACCAATGGATAGTCTAACAGAAAACAAAGAAAACAATGGAATTAGAGAGTACTAAGGTGAATCACTTTAATATAATATCGCTCTTTTTACTTCACTCACGGACAAAGCTTTAAATGGAKATCGTTTTCTCAAAGTTGAAGAAGCGATCCGCTGAAACACTGGTTTTAGCACCAGCCATCATGCCGAGAAAAACATTTTGCATATCAATGGCGAAAGTCAGTGACCTTAGCAARCACTGTCAWTACAGCAGAATTATAACAGCGTTTTCGTCAAGGAAACCAACTTTCAAACTGTTTTTAACAATAGYACGATACGTCTGAGAATGTAGAGCAAATTTCTTTTGCAGAAGGACAATTGAGATTCTTTAAATAGCTTTAAAAMGTAACTTTCTTTCTTCTTGGGCTTTAGTCAAAGTCAATAAAACAAAATGTCAGTTTTGAGTGGAAGTTKGGCCATGTTTTACACAAAACTAGTTTAAAYTGGCAKTAAAAATCGGTTAAGTTTGACTTGGAAGTCGTGAATTAAACTGATATCCAAACATTCACAACTTGGACGTAATTATTGATTTATAAAGTTCGACAATGTACATGATTTAAAATTTTAAAATCACTAAGCACRCTTKTAACATAATTGTCCTTTTTTTCTTGATTTTGAAGACGTTTTGGCTTCAAATGATTCGTTTTTAAGTGCAAAACGAGTAAGTTTATGAAARCACTTTCGCATTAGTTACAATATACGGAAAAGAACAACAACAGCAAGAAGAAGTTTGAGTATAAATACCTTGTCATTATTACAATGGTCGGTGTTTTCTCTTGTAATAGTCACYGGTGAAGACTGAAGTTCTTTGAACCCTACAGAAGCAAGAAGAAAGCTTATAGAACTAAAATACTATCAAATAAACTCGACATTGTATGTTTGTCAACAGAGCAACATTATAATGCATGTAGTCATGCGTACGTTGAATACATTCCGAAGACAATAAATCACCTTTCGCGAAACAATGACAATTACGAACGCTAAAAGAGCGCGCTTTCTTTGCTCTAAGAACAYTAAGAACTTTTGYTTTGCCTCCTTTGTCACGCGAATGTCCCGAATTCAAAGCWAAAAAGATTAATTTGGTTAAGAAGTCCCGCTTTTTGAAGCCGTGTTTTCGTATGTCCAAATATTTGCTAAGAATATGACACGTTCAAAATCAGGTTTGATAAGAAAACAATCATACTAAATAAGATTTTTGAGTCTTGTTTTATGTATTTTAGGTTAAGTTTMTCATTTTTTCCAAGATGATTAATAAGAAAGCGTGTTATGTCAAATTTTATGATTAATTTAAGTCACTTTTCGGGTAAAATTAGTATTGTAACAAAAGTTGACCACTTTTGAAAACACACGTTTTTAAGTTGCCGTTTCGCAAGTCAATTCTCTACTTGACAAACAATGCTCAAAAAGTTCCAAGGATCCTAGAACTAGCACAAATAAYATGGGCATTTTATAAGTAACTTTACAAGCGTGACTGTTCGTGCTGTTAAAATAGCCATGATATCATGCGTTACAAATGTGCGTGACGGTAACGCCTTCATTCATGAGCGAAACAAAGAATCCAAAAACAGATACTAATGTGCTTGTAGCTCAAGGTGAAATTACGTCTCCCAAAACCGCAAATTAGCACCAATTTTACGTAAAATAAGTGTCTACATTACGTAAATTATAGACGTAAAATACTCCATAAAATACTACAAAGCCTAAAGGTGCCACGTGAACCAAWATTCARCCCGAAGTCTTGAATAAAGAAATCGCTATTCAAACATTCTGAATAAAACAATTCAAYCAAATCTAMAGAAATAAAAATCTCGASTTTTAACCAAAGAAGGTGAATATCAGATACAAAAAGCAATGTTAAAGATTGTTTATCAAATTCAATTTAGTATTYWGTACCTGGGATGTTTTTCTTGAGCGTCATTTTAAGGTTGGTCGCTGAGGAAACGATCTCTCGAGCCTTTGAAAGGAATAAAATACAAAATTTACCTAAATTCATCAGATATTTAAATAGTTTTGCATTGAAATTACTGGAGAATGATAGCTGAAGTCTTCTTACCTTATCATAGCTGATATTTTCAAAGGTTTTCGCGTTCGCATCCAGAATCTGTTCGAGCGATGAGAAAAGTACTATTTATAATAGTATAATAATGTTTGGACAGCGTAGACAGGTGTAACACAGGGAACCCGTAAACTATTGTGCAATACTCCTCAAAGCATGTTCAAACACAAAAGCCATTCAAAAGCACAAAGAAAATTGTGTTTCTTTGTTATCTCTTAAAAGAACGATTTAGAAAAATTGTTCGAAGCATTGTTTAGTTGATTTTCAAAGAAAGCGGTTCGAATCTATTGAAATAACATCGTAAGATCGTATCCAGTTCAAAAAAATCTTATTCTTCTTCTTATTTTTCAAAAGGGGAACCAAAAATACCTGGTCTCCTCTCCGAACGCCTTTTTCGTATGCTTGGCTCTCTTCTTCCACCTAGAAAAAAAACTTTCTATACTTAAAAAATAACTTAAATAAACAGATTAATAACAATTTCATTTATACTAAAATTTTCGCTACACTCGGGATAGAGTCGGGTTTCGCTCGGGATAGCATCGAGTGTCACTCGTGACAAAATTCCGAATACTTATTGTACAATACCTTGGATACAAAGATAGGGAATGACAGTTCTTTTCCTCCAATGATAGCAAAACCCCAAGACTGATTGCGTGACGGTCGTTCCTAATAAGGAAAAGCATTAAGGTTAGCGTTACATTTGTGCTTGACTGAAAGGAATATGTCATTTTCTACAGCAAAGCATCTTGGAAATCATTAAACAGCAGTGCATGATGGGAAAACTTTCCGCGCAAAGGTTGATGGGAATTCTTACACAGCAAAGCATGTCGGGAATCCTCACCCACCAATATAATCCACAAAAAGTCCAAATATATATGCGTTTTGTTTTTTCACTGGAAGACACAGGAAAGTCATCTCCTCGTTCTGCTTTAGAAGATATCCTTGCTGAATTCTAGTGTTTTAATCACTTACCAGTGAAACCTCTCGAGTTTTAGCCTTCGCTGAGCAGGCCATATTGAGTAAATCAAGCTGACCACTCATTTTCTACAGACAGGAAAAACTTCAGTGAGATGGAAAGTCTATTTTAAGAATGAGAGAAAGACGAGATACAAAACTACCAACTTATGAAGCATCAAAGTATATGCTCARGTTTAGCGTCAATGCTTCTCGTTTTCCACCTTATTTGGACAAGTAACTTATCGCGCAACAAAAAAAAAACTGGTGTAAAAAAACGTAAAACACTTACGTTTATGTAAAGGCCGCGAAATTGAAGATACATAAAAAAAGATTTGGAGGTGCAGTTCTAGTTTGGCGACGTTTTTTGTGCTTTTATGTCTTGCCTGGCAACTTGTCACGCAACAACAAACACCGCCGTTTACATTGAATAACAACAATGCTGCGTGACACATTAGGTGTACATAAAAAACAAGGAAAGCGTTCTATCATAGAGGTTCTTATCATTAAAAGGTTATTTTTACAAAGAACGTATGAATAAAGAGTGCAGAGCAGGGATACTGGAAACAACCCCTCCCTACATCTCTCCTAAGTCTTTCACGTCCATATCAAAACAGGAATCCCGTTAAATCATACAATAATTTCTACTACTATACCTGTAGTTCCAGGCCCTTTTCAAACGATTCGAGGAAATTCTCCATGTCAGTGTCTCCTTCGAAGTCGGTGAAATGATTGTTCACCCATAGAAGCATGACACGGGTTACCTGTGCATAAAATACCGTTAGTAGCTTGGTAATGAATGTTAGTCCAATGCATTAGACTCAATGCATGCTCAAATGAGTGCAAAATATATTGATTCCGAGAATGTGACACAACGAAACGTGC